ACTGCAGTCATCGTTTTTAGGCGAAGTTAGACGCTTTGAATTTGCTGGTGACCTAACTGATTGTTTTTCCTTTTCACAACCTTTTAATCATAAAAAAATATAAGTTTTATTTTAATTTTAATAATTTAATATAACATTTTATTATACTTACTCGCAATATGATCATTTTTAAGTGAAGGAAGTGTAGTAGAAACCCTATTCCTTTCGTGATCTAAGTTATCTAATAAAATGGCAATTAAAATTATAGAATGTTTGTAAAAAATTTTGAAATGTTTAGATTACTAACCTGTAGTTTCATTAAAGTCATTTTGAAGTAGCTTCTGTGACAGTTTTTCTTTTGCCATAGCCGCGACCACCACCTCTTGCACGACTAGCTCTTCCACGCTCTCCTAATTATATTAATAAAATGATATTGTTATTATGGCATGTTTATTAGAGATTATTATAAATAATTTACTAACAACAGTTTTAGGCACAGTAAAAACAGCATCCTTTCTCTTTTCACGACTATGCACACCTATTTTAAAAATAAATTACAAACATCTAATTGATAAAATCAAAAATTTTATTAAACTCACCTGCTATAACATCCTGTTCTTAGATTTTTTGAATCAAATCGTCAGCAGGTTTGTTGATTTTCTTTTCGTTCCCACGACCGCATCCACCTGATAAAATAAAAAGGTATTTATTAATTTGCAATTAGTAACAATAATGTATTTATAAATATTTGTAATTAGATAAATAAAAATAAAAAATAAAAAATATATTTGTAATCCATAATAATTAAAATAGATATTACTTGCTAAAGTTTTTTTATTGTCTTTAATTGATCGTGTATTCATCATTTTCAATGCTCTTTATAAAATAAGAATGATTGTTGTAAAATTAGAGAATAACGAGTTGTAAAAGAGAGATTGTAATTTCATTGATTATTAAGAAAAATGTTATTTATAATACACAACTCTCTTTTTATAATAATTAGACTTTTCATCACGATTTAGGCTTTATCTTCTTTCGATATAAATAGTTACTGTGTGAATACTGATTATCTTTTTATAGTTTAAGTCTAAATTTATTAATAAAAAAACACAGATTATTTAATAGACTTTGCGCCTTTTATATACCATAATAAACTATAACAAACGTAAAATATGAATCTTGATCTATCACATGTATTAATCTTGATCTACTTGCTGATCTTATTATAAAACAATTGTTTATTTATACAGTAATCAGCATATGTGTCATGTTTGCATAACAAACAATAGATTTTTACCAAATCAAGGATAAAATATACTTTTTGTATACACTTATAAATAAAATATACTTTC